TTGGCGAAAAAATTTCTTACTGAACAACTAGGTTACTTTTAAAGAACGACTGTTAAGTGGAAACTGCACATTTACTTTGCAAAATTTATGATGATTTATGCTAGTGGCCGCAAAAGTTAGGTGTAAAGCAAAGCCATTCATGCAGTCAATGACCTGAGTACTTCAAGACCGGTGCAAAAACGCATGATCGCACGGGCACGCCCGGTGCGTTCCTCCCTGGGTTGCATTTGCATATATGTAAAAACGCATAGTCACTCGAAGTTGTAGAGCTGAATGCTGTGCCGCGAGCTTTTGTAGATGGAGTCATTCATGAAAACTACGTAGAAATTGTTAGGGGAACAAACATTGGCTGTCCAACAAACAAGAGTTGTAGTCCTATTCTTTTCACTACGAAAAATTCGGTTTAGGTCATCCATTTCCTATTTTGCCGTGAATTAAATCGAAAACACACACTTCATATCTTGGCCCATTCTGACATCGTGAAGTTAGTTAAAACTTGTGCCTTGGATAATAGAGCGGAAGACAATGAGCAATAAACGCCAAATTCATGAGCACTGCTTGATAAATTACGCTCTCAAAATGTCGACTTCGCAATTCTGTCTTTTTTGAGTGATGGAACTAGTCCGAATTGGTAGCTGTAGTCTAAAGCCAGGACTACAGAAGTACGTAATTTAAAATTATGATCAGACAGACAAGCAAGCACATAACCAAGGTCTCGTCACAATGAGCGTTTAGCAAAAATCATGCAAAAGCCCAGAGAAACTGCTGAAAGCCTTGTTGCGAAAATTCTCGTCTCTTCTTTCTTCCACTCTTCCCGGCGGTTCACGCTTCGATGACGTTACAGCAGCGCTACACTCTCTCCATTCGAAAGTCACTTAATGCTCCTCTGATCGGACATCTTTGCGAATTCAGTTCCAACCAGATTTTCAAGAAATAAGAATTGCTGTATCACAGGCAAGTAAAGGTAGAACTTACTTTCAATCAGCTGCTGTTGAGGAATCGCCTCGGTAGGGCCTCGTCCGGCAGCTGAAAGTGCAGGTCTCACGATGCCACCAGCAGCTGAATCAGCGCCAGCAGCTTGTTGTGGTCCAGCAACAAGAGCAACACCTTGTGGTGGAGGGACAGCTGCTCCTTGTGGAGCTGGGATTGCGTTGAACTGCTGCACGGATGCTCCAGGTGAAAAGGCCCGTGGTGCCGTACTGATACAGCTTTCTCCTGAAAAAATCCACGTTTGATTTTGTAAAAAAAAGTGAAAAAACTCGAAATTAGAGTACAGCTCAGCTGTTTTATTGAAATACAGACAAGCTGTTAGAAATCATTTTCCATGTTCTTTTATTCAGAAAATCTCATGGTCACACTCCGCAGCAGAACCTGTAACACTATATGATTTTTTTTTTTTACTAAAAGTAAATGCGCTCACTAACAGATTATAGATTTTATGCATTTTTGCACATTTATGGGATTGCAAAAACGCATATTGACGAGGGGTTGTGCGTGTGTGCCTGTGTATGTGTGCGTATCTTTTTCATCCACTTTCAACTCGGCAACCAGTGAAGCTAGGAAGCTGAAATTTCTGGAGCACGTCCTCATTCCATGTGTAATACTCCATCTCTAAAATCATCACTGTGCTACCTCTGGATCCCACACACGAAACTCCTTAGATAATTTATGCAAATATTTTGGTGGGAGGGCAATTT